TCTCCTATTCTTATATTTGTATTATATTTTGCACATAAGTCGGTCAGTTTTAGAGCTCAGTGCAATATCTACTATTTCCCCTCATTGTTTGTTATTAATAATGCAGGTATATTAATATACACAGGTATATTCTTCACAATCTGTGGTCCCACTTTTCATTCTTACTCCAAAATGTTTACTCGCTATTTTTGCAGTTAGACCTCACGTAGGTGAATGAAAGGGGAAGCTAAATAAGAAGAAGGACCCAACTTAAAATGTTTATCAAAGGCACAAAAGCCCATTATTAATTACTAAGCGGATTTAATTAAATGCACTTGTCGAAGTGTACACCCACTCTGCACATCCTTTACAGAAAACTTTGCACTCGGAACTAAAGCAATCGGACTAAATGTTCTTTTCTTAAAAGATTTTTTCATAACTCCTGCTCTATTTTGTCAAATGGTATCTATAGGGTGTAACACCATTTTTATACCCTTGCAGAGGGTATTATAATTTTGGTCAGAAGTTTGTAACGCAGTGAAGGAGACGTTTCCGACCCCATAAAGTATATATATTCTTGATCAGGATCAATAGGGGAGTCGATATAGCCATGTCCGTCTGTCCGTCTGTCCGTCTGTCCGTCTGTTTCAATACCGTTTGCGAGCTCAGTTTAAAAGCTAGCGATCTGAAACTTTCACAATCGTCCTAAAACATGTGTACGCAGATCAAGTTTGAAAATCGCCCCGATCGGACGTCTATATCCTATAGCTCCCATAGGAACAATTGGATATATCTTGCAAGAATTTATGATATTTCGCGCAGTGTAAAAGCTATTGACATTAATCTTTACAAATCGTATTTTTTTATGCATACCTTGATCAGGGTAAAAGCGCGTGGCGATCGGACGTCTATATCCTATAGCTCCCATAGGAACAATAGGGTAAAATCGGTTAAAATTTAATGATTTTTAGGATATTTCGCGCAGTGTAAAAGCTATTGACATAAATCTTTCCAAATCTTATTTTTTTATGCGTACCTTGATCAGGGTAAAAGCGCGTGACGATCGGACGTCTATATCCTATAGCTCCCATAGGAACAATAGGGTAAAATCGGTCCAAATTTGATGTTTTTCAGAATATTTCGCGATGTGTAAAAGCTATTGCTGTACATTTTTTCAAATCGTATTTTTTTATGCATTCATTCATCAAGGTAAAAGCGCGTGCTGATCGGACGTCTATATCCTATAGCTCCCATAGGAACAATACGGTGAAATCGGTCAAAATTTCATGTTTTTTAGAATATTTCGCGCAGTGTATAAGCTATTGACACACATTTTTCCAAGTCTTATTTATTTACGCATACCTTGATCAGCGTAAAAGCGCTTGCCGATTGGACGTCTATATCGTATAGCTTCCGTAGGAAAAATTGTTAAAGGCTGCGAAAATATCCCTTTTTCCCTATTTGTATATGACAATTTTGCAGTATAAAAGCTATTGGCATGAAACTATGCAATTTATCTAATTTATTTATGTACACCTTGCTCAGGGTAAAAGTTGCTGCCAATCAGACAAGTACATACTACATCCGCTATTTAAAAATTAAATTAATTACGTATAGCTAATCTTTTTATACCCTTGCAGAGGGTATTATAATTTTGGTCAGAAGTTTGTAACGCAGTGAAGGAGACGTTTCCGACCCTATAAAGTATATATATTCTTGATCAGGATCAATAGGGGAGTCGATATAGCCATGTCCGTCTGTCCGTCTGTCCGTCTGTTTCAATACCGTTTGTGAGCTCAGTTTAAAAGCTAGCGATCTGAAACTTTCACAATCGTCCTAAAACATGTGTACGCAGATCAAGTTTGAAAATCGCCCCGATCGGACGTCTATATCCTATAGCTCCCATAGGAACAATTGGATATATCTTGCAAGAATTTATGATATTTCGCGCAGTGTAAAAGCTATTGACATTAATCTTTACAAATCGTATTTTTTTATGCATACCTTGATCAGGGTAAAAGCGCGTGGCGATCGGACGTCTATATCCTATAGCTCCCATAGGAACAATAGGGTAAAATCGGTTAAAATTTAATGATTTTTAGGATATTTCGCGCAGTGTAAAAGCTATTGACATAAATCTTTCCAAATCTTATTTTTTTATGCGTACCTTGATCAGGGTAAAAGCGCGTGACGATCGGACGTCTATATCCTATAGCTCCCATAGGAACAATAGGGTAAAATCGGTCCAAATTTGATGTTTTTCAGAATATTTCGCGATGTGTAAAAGCTATTGCTGTACATTTTTTCAAATCGTATTTTTTTATGCATTCATTCATCAAGGTAAAAGCGCGTGCTGATCGGACGTCTATATCCTATAGCTCCCATAGGAACAATACGGTGAAATCGGTCAAAATTTCATGTTTTTTAGAATATTTCGCGCAGTGTATAAGCTATTGACACACATTTTTCCAAGTCTTATTTATTTACGCATACCTTGATCAGCGTAAAAGCGCTTGCCGATTGGACGTCTATATCGTATAGCTTCCGTAGGAAAAATTGTTAAAGGCTGCGAAAATATCCCTTTTTCCCTATTTGTATATGACAATTTTGCAGTATAAAAGCTATTGGCATGAAACTATGCAATTTATCTAATTTATTTATGTACACCTTGCTCAGGGTAAAAGTTGCTGCCAATCAGACAAGTACATACTACATCCGCTATTTAAAAATTAAATTAATTACGTATAGCTAATCTTTTTATACCCTTGCACAGGGTATTATAATTTTGGTCAGAAGTTTGTAACGCAGTGTCCGTCTGTTTCAATACCGTTTGCGAGCTCAGTTTAAAAGCTAGCGATCTGAAACTTTCACAGTCGTCCTAAAACAAGTGTACGCAGATCAAGTTTGAAAACCGCCCCGATCGGATGTCTATATCCTATAGCTCCCATAGGAACAATCGGATATAACTTGCAAGAATGGAAGATATTTCGCGCAGTGTAAAAGCTATTGACATAAATCTTTCCAAATCTTATTTTTTTTATGCGTACCTTGATCAGAGTAAAAGCGCGTGTCTATATCTATATATGTAAAAGCGGACGTCTATATCCTATAGCTCCCATAGGAACAAAAGGGTAAAATCGGTTAAAATTGAATGATTTTTAGGATATTTCACGCAGTATACAAGCTATTGACATGAATCTTTCCAAATCCTATTTTTTTATGCATACATTGATCAAGGTGAAAGCGCGTGCCGATCGGACGTCTATATCCTATAGCTCCCATAGGAACAATAGGGTGAAATCGGTCCAAATTTGATGATTATCAGAATATTTCGCGCAGTGTGTAAGCTACTAACATACAATTTTCCAATTCTTATTTATTTACGCATATCTTGATTAGGGTAAAAGCGCTTGCCGCTCGGAAGTCTATATCTTAAAGGAGATAGGAAAAATTGTTAAAGGCTGCGAAAGTATCCCTTTTTTTCTATTTGTATATGACATTTTTGCAGTATAAAAGCAATTGACTTGAAACGATGCAAATCTAGTTTACTTATGTATACCTTATTCCTTTCGCTACTTTTTCACTTTTAGCAATTTGTCAAAGTCTGCAAGGGTATTAAAACTTCGGCTTGCCGAAGTTAGCTTCCGTCCTCGTTTTTTTCAAAACGAGTGCCTTATATGCGTGTTTGCAGTTGTTTTTCTGGCTGTGCGCATCTTAATTGATGATGCCAAGGATACACAGCTTTGACGGCAATAGGGAGTAGACAGCTCAAGGCTGGCTGATGGAGGACACGCAAAAGGCAAGCAAACATAATGCGTACATATATCGAGGGGTTGGAAGGTGTGCATGGTGGTAGACTCCCATCCCAGACACTCTTCCCATCTCGATTTCACTTCCATTCAATTCCACATCTCACATTCTGTCATTTTGTATGGTATGTGGCTGAAAGGTAATCTCTGACAACTTTAACACCTCGATGAACTTCAACCTCGTCGACGTATTTCGAAACATAACGAATCGTTTTAATTAACCTCGAAGCGAAAGCATATAACAAATCCGTCGTGTCTCAATGTGTGCAATTAATTTTTTTTTGGTATCCTTTAGCATTTAATTAAACTTTAAGCGCCAATTGTATAAATAGCGCACTGTCGACATGGCGAGCTAACAAAAACTTTATCAAAGTGCTGAAAAAAACTACAAATATTTTAGATTTTACGACCTTTACCTTTTTACAAAGGTATTTTTAAACAGATTAAAAGGTTGCTAGGGAAAATAGGAAAATTCATTTAATTGAGTGTAAATCTAAAGTGTAAGTTTTATTTTTAATTTGCTTTATATGTTTAAAAATCAACGATTTTTGTCAAAATGTCTGTATAAAAGCTCGATTAAAAAATTTAAAATTGACAGGATTTATAGTATGGCAATCCATGTTCAAGTTAGCCGATCAAAATCTAAAAATAGTTGAAGCTTTCTGCACTTTTTTTCAAGAGCTTAGCAAATCCCGAAATGCACTTTAACTTTAACTTTTTGCACAGCGTAAAGGGTGAATCGAATGGGTGGAATGCTAATGCGGTGCACACGCCATTTGGCGCTTTGTATTTGGGCAGTGACGCCATTTTGCATCGGCCTTGATGTTGGCGCCACTAAAAGGACGCGGTTTGGGTAATGTGACCCACAATACACCCATTAAAACCAGAAGGGAGATGCCTTGATGGAGTGCCAAAAGTAGCAACCGATTTGATAGTATCGTGGGGGATTTAATGGTGGTTCTTAAATTTGATTGTCCATGAATTTGGCAGACCTTCAATGTAATATTTTTTTGTCAAAGCGGAAGGAGCAAGGACGAACCGGAAATGAATTTATTCATGCCCACATGCAGATATAGCAATGCTTATATGTAAAATATTATTGCAGTCAATATCCAGGGGAATTTGGTTTTTCAATGTTGGTTTTTTTTAATGTTACAATTTTCATAACATTAACTCCATTGGCTTTATTGCCAAAGTATGTATTTAAGCAAATTACAGGATGGTTTTTCAATTTAGTTTTTGCAAGTTTTCACTAATCACATTACGATAGAAACGAGTTGATTTGATCAATTTCTTTGTCAACATTGCACATTTAAATTTTAAATTTCGAAATCAAACACGATGGGAAACCCAACATAGCAGGATTCGGCCGTTTTTGCCTTGCTTAGCTTTAGTATTTTGATAACTTGGTCTCTAAACTTGACAAGTCAGACTTAATCCATGTTCTTATAATTGCCGTGCCATTTAATTTCCCATTTGCAAGAAAATAACAAAGAAATCCCCCAGTTTGATAGCTTTGTTATCTGGTTCCCAGCTATACTTCAATTGAGTCGATTATATTCATCCGATCATGAGACCGCAGCCCAGTCGAAAGCTGTTCTTCAGGTGATTCATTCGACCGCTGATGGCCAACGAAAACGGCAACGGCTGAAGGCGTTTCTCGAGGACGCCGGCAATGTGCCAATTAGAATCGAGACTGCCGCGGAACACCAGATCTGCCTTGGGAAGATCCACCTGGTAAGCCACCGTGGCCGTGGACTCTTGCAGACGCAGATTCGTCTCCACTTCGACTCCGATCTGTAGCTGTTCACTGGCCTTCTGGTAGTAGCTGAGGTGGAAGCCACCGGGTCCCAAGGTGCACGACCACACCGAATCACCGACGGCATAGCGTCCCACCGCCGATAACACCGCCACCTGGCGACCGGGAACATTCGGTCCGTACTGGTAGGCCAACTCCGTTCCAAGGGCCAATTTCTGGGTGACGGCCTGCAAGTACTGGCATACAATCACTCCGGAGCCCGTCAGAATGCCCGGGTTGCCCAACGTCATGGATATTGTGTAGTCCCGACCGCGATAGTCCCCCGTCAGCTGGGTGGCCACCAACTTCGAGTCCTGAAACTGCGAGGCGAACTTGCACCGCAGTCGAGATGTGAACTGGTGGATCACGTTTGCATTGAGATTGCCCATTGGATCGATCTCACCCAGGAGAACGGGAAAGGCCTCATTGGGACCGTACTGTTTGGTTCCCACATATGTGGCTCCGAAGCGATAGCCACTTGGCGACGACGAATTCATGTTGATGGTGTGCGTCACCTGGAAGTGGTTGCTCAGGCCCTTGTTCAGCATGATCTTGGCGCCTTCGAATGTGTTGGCCTGGATGTCGCGACAGCGACTGTGCAGCTCCTCGACTGTTCCGGGATTGGCCAACTCTTGCGTCTTGCGAGCCTCTGCCTCTAATGCCTCCACAAGCTGAGGCGGCATTCCGGCGGAGGGAGCGGGGGCACCTCCGGCAGTCCCAGTCCGGCGGAAACACGGGAGGAGTCAGCGCCTGCGGTAGACGCCATCACGTTCCCCATTCTTGAATGGTGTGGGTTTTAATGCAATTTACAATTTTAAAGCTGTACCTCTTAAAATCTGTTTCTGTTTCGGCGTCGTATGTGTTGCGAATGCTCAGACATCAAAAAAACAATGAAACTAAAATTATATGCTGCCAAATGTCAGAGAGCTTGAATTCGATTGAATACTCGATACAAACGGTAGCCCTTAAAAACTCAGTAGGAGCGATTGTCAAAGTTTAAAATAGATTGAACAGCTCTAACATAAAAACGAAAAAGAAATTCGAATTTGCCAAGCCACAAAAACCATAAAAACTTTAAGTCTAAAAAAATAAAGTAATATGGAAGTTAAGCTGCATTTTTTTAAGGTTTTTAAATTGAAAGATTTTATGTCCAGTTTGGTTAAGTTAGTGGAAAGACATTATTTCTTGTGAAAACAATCTTAACTTCAGAAAACACAAAACCCTATTATTATTAACACACTTTAATTTATACAAATTTTTAAGCGAATACATGTGTCACATATGAAATTATTGGCTAATTAGTTTTGAAAAGGAAAGAAACCGGCAAGTCGTTAAGAAAGAAATATGGAAAGTATTTATACAACTGCCGCGCACACGCTTTTATATCTTTGTTCCCTTATTACTCCAGTCTCGGTTGGCAGTGACTAAACGCATAGAAGCTTGATTGACCAACTTTTCTAAGCATATCATAACTTCTGGTAGACAAAAAGATACACATGGAACCCCACACATAGAAAGGCATTGACTGGAACTCCTTTCAGTTGGTTAATTCGCCATCCAAAAAAAGAAAAACTTGAATTGGACAAGAGAAATCGCAGTAGAGAAAACCACTGTATTCCATAAATCATGACCATAATTCCATTTCTCATGTGCACAATTCCATTATATGGACGGCGGTGTCATCAAATGCCTTATTAAAGGTTGTTAATCATCCTTATGTAAAGAAAGCACAAGCTGATTACCACCCAAAAGTAATGCTAAAGGCAAGTGACTGTGTGGATTTTGGAATCCTTTTATAAGGCATTCGAAGATAATCCAGTAGAACAGTAGGGCTGCTTTTAATACATCCTTGCTAATAGAAAGATATTTTTTGTTTCCTCAGCATGCTACATATTTTGTTTCCCTAAAATGCTACATTTTCAGCAGCAAACCACAATTTCCTTAATGTAAAGGTTTGTGACAGCGTGTGCAAACCGCAGTGCACAATTAGCACTACATTTTCCTCTCTAAATTTTGAGTGCACACACTAAGGCAAAACATTTTCATACTTTATGGAATTTTGTGGTCCTGAATACAAAGACCTAAACAAAAGGAAACAAACATGTTTGTCAATCATTATTTCTATCTTTAACAGAAACGCGTGAATGGGGTCTAAAATATCGAAGAAAACCAGTGGTAGATTTAAGAATGTGAGGAAATTTCCTTCATACGGCTTAAAATCGGTATTGGGTTCAATATTTTTGTGAACTTTAAGTACACCAAAAGTATATCCTTGCCGCCTCAATATCTTTCCCTCTCGCTTTTGAACACGTGCACTATTAATTTGGCTCATTTAACTAACCGAACATATTAAATGCACGCGTTGTACGCCTCAGGAAAACCACTGAGCGGAAGGGAAAAGTGTCGATGGGTGGTGGGTGGTGGACGCCCAACGAAGGCAAAGCTCATTAACTGCACGCCATTGGCGGTGGGAGATTTCCTTCTCCTCTTTCTGCCTATTAAAGGTTAGTTCCTTAAATGTAAAAGGTTTATCCCTACACAGAGTTCTCCATCGTCAATATTTATGTTCACTTAAATTTATTGCCGTTTGGAAAGTTCGAAATTTATGTGAATGCGAGGCCTTACAATGTGGATATCATTGGGGTAGGTAATAAACGCCGGGAATTGAGTTCAAAAGTGGATCGGGGTCTAAACAAGTGGCTTTGCTTAAAGCATAGAAATTCAGAAAATTTTTAACTTTCCCACAAATTTAAACATTTTTGAAATATCGACGTCAACTAATAATCATATAAATAACTAATCAAATGAAAAAAACTTAGGAACATTAAATAAAAAATAGTATAATTTGTCGATACAAATCTTGACTTTTGTTGTCATAGGGTCAACATTAGGGCACAAAATCCCGAAGCCAGTGCAAGTATTAATTATAAAATTGATGGTGCCCTCTTTTATTTTAACGCGTGACAAACTTTTTGTACATTCACAAACCGAAATCCCCGTAACTTTTAGATTATCATCACCCAAAACTTATACACGCACATACAGAATCGTTAACATAACTTTCAGCTACTTATTGCAAAATCCTCTTAAAGTGACTAAAGTTGCAAGACGGAGAGAAGTGGGAACGCAGCAAAATATACTATATGCCTATCAAGCTCAAGACATCTCCTTCTGGCCCACTCATATACCACAGACTTAATACACTTTTGCGCCCAGAATCGGGAAAGCAAAAGTCGAGCAACTTTATTTTCTCACAAACACAGTAAACAAACTTCATCTGCACCCCCACCAGCCCATGCATACGCATATAAAAAAGCTCATTGACTTGAAGATACAACACAACTTTGCTACAAGTTTCAACTAGCGGAGGATTGAAAAGGGGGGTCAGTCAGGCATGGCTCGCTCAGGGAGAGTGGGTGGAAAACTTGCCAAGAAAATATTGCCGACGACATCCGCTTTCTGTTTGGAGACGCCGCGCATCGCTGCTGGTTGCGTGTCAGAACCCAAAGGCGTTTGGGGACCGTTACAAAAGCTAATAAACGCACACCAACTCACACACAAATGAGCACTCAAAGAAATTATAGAATTTGCGAAGGGAAAAGGTCAAAGGATAACGAAATAATGGAATAAGAGTTTTACCTTCCCTATACAAAAATTAGAAATATTAATCATTAGAAAACTGAGATATTCCTTAGAAATATGGGAGTATTAACTTTTTTGTTTTTCAGACATTTAAAAAATTATATTTGGTTTTTTTGACCGTAAAATTTTATTTACTTAAAAGTTAATAACCGGAATATTTTTTTGGGTGAATATTGGTTGGAATATTTCTGTACAAATCAATAAGTCATTGGACATACCTGTACAGTATTTTTTAATCGGCGTTTTCTGAAAAAAATTAAGAAACATTTTAATATTAAAAACTGTACATATAAGTATACAAATAAATTAGAAAACAACTAAGCCACTTATTCCAAATCAACGCGAATTCTAAATGTTGTATGGTTGTATAGATTAGTATTACAAACTTTGTTGTCAGGAATAATTTGTAACTTCAAAGATTTGGCTAGTTTTCATTTTTTTAAGAAGTTCATAGAACATTTTCAGTGCATTGGTTTTGTTTGCTTGGGTCGCAGGACACACACTCATTGTGTCTCATTTGCGAGAGGCACATTGAATGCAAATGGCGCAAATTCAAATTACAAACCAACAATTTCCGCAATACAGCTGGCTTTGCTGTCGATTTTGTTTCATGGTTTATCCACTTCTCAGCCACCTCAAACCAACCTCTCACACCACCCACTTATACCAATCCAACCCACCCAACGTTCATTGTTTTCCCTCATGTACAGTTAATTGCATGTTTTATGAGGGCATCCGCTTGAAGGGAATGGTGGGGTTTATATTGCTTGTTCTGCCTATTTATCCTGGTCCTTGCGATGTTTTTATTTAATTTGTCATTTTAATGCAGCTTTGTGACTCAAGAACGTCTTAACTTCACAATTTAAATATTTCGTTTTATCCAGAAAAATCCGAAATCGGCATATTTATCCCATTATTGAAAAAATAACTAAAGATGCATGAAAAATGGAAATCATAATTTACGAAGCTTACAAATGTTTTTATAGCCACATCTAAAGTCAACCTTCGATGTAAAGCTTTCATTTTTCAGATTCCTTCGTTGGTAAATTCTTTTATGAAATTGAGCAAAAATGCAATAAAAATCATTTAAACCTTGGAAAGAAAAATATTAAATACATTTTCCTGTTTTCCATCCGCCCTGTCTCTCTGATATCGCTCCTCCCACTTCACCTTTTCCTGGAGCGATACCAAGGACCAGCGCACCTGTGGCGAGGGAAAAAGAGACGGGAGGCAGACGAGGCCATAAATGGTATTTCATTAGCAAATAAATTCACAAAAATGCCTTTCCACACTTCACCCCTCCCTTGTCTTTCCTGTAAACCAAATCAATAACACTCTTCACGCCCACGAAGCTCTTCTTTCAGCAGAGCGTAAACTGTAAATGAAGAGAATAAAATCCAAGGTAACCAAGTGTATGACAAAAGTTACAATTTTTTAAAAAGCAAACATTTGGAATAATTTACTGGACTGTCGTGGCCTAAAGCTTTTTCTTGCTGGCAAATTGGAAATTCAGTGTACACTCGAAACGAAGGGTGGGTACTTGCTGTATTTATTTTCTTTTAGCAAAAAATTGTAAAAAAATACATTTTTTGGACATTTACAGGAAGCTTAAAAATATTGTATTGTATCAATAATTTGGATAGCAAGGACAGATAATTGCAAAACTGGAAAAAAAACTTGAAATAAACTGGCTCTTCTGGAATCAAAAGGCTCTGGATGTTCAACACCAACTCTCTAACTTGAGGGGTCCACATCCATAGTTAGACTCAAAAAAATGACTAGATCAAATCAGTAGCGATCCTTTTTTTTGGTGGCCGATACCGCATTTGACATATAAAACCTCAACGCACAGACTATCAAAATCATTTAAATGCAAAGCGGATTGATTAGTTTTAGCATAGGAGAGTTTTATCAAAAGTGAGAGCTTTTTGTAAAATTTAGCAGAGTCTACACAGAGTCTATATTTAAATGAAATTAATTGAAAATTTTAAAATGACATAAACGCAACCTCACTCTTAAACCTTCTTCATCTTACAAATCTAGTACCATTCTTGCTATTATATTACAAAAGGATATAAAGGAAATAATTTGGTGCAATAAAAACGACTTCAGTTCTATATCCTTTAAATGTAGGAAATCCGAGATTCCCTCGTACAGCATAGGGTGGGCATCAGTCAGAATTCAGCACACAAAGGAGGAGAAAAAATAGAGTGGTGGGAAATTTCATCTTCATTTCCATACTAAAAATCCGACCTAAAAATTTTCATGGATCCGACATGCTCAGAATTGGCCTGCCTGGAGGACGCAGGAGATGAGTCTGCCTGGTAGAGCTGCTGTTGCTGTGTCTGTTACACAATATTACGAATAGGCCTGCTGTAAACAATGAATGCGCCTCCTTCCACCCAACACGTAAATGTAATGCATATTGAGGCCTAAAAAAGGGAAAAGAAGCAAGAAACACAGAACCAAGCCAAAAAATCGAGCAAAAGAACGGGGACAGAGCGTCTAGCGCTTTGACTGTGCCAATTTTCGGAGCGTTGGACGTTCGTTATTTCTCTGATGGTTGAAGGGCAACAGAATTTTCAACAATTTTCCCTCTTTCTATACCTGGTACTCCTCGATTAGCATGTAGGGTATATTATTATGTATATTATGTTAACCCTTTATATTGTGTATACTTCAAAATAACTCGATCTAGCCATATAATGTGGTTTTGGAAAACAATAGCAACACCAACCCTTTTTGAGAAAGTAAAACAATTTAGTTTAACATTTATGCCACTCCCCCTAAACTAGCAAATTTAAAACAACTGTGCAAATCAAACAATTTTGAAGGAAGTTAACTTTTATGGTTTCTTTTTACAAATGCCTTGGAGCTATGGAAAATATTTTTAAACAGCGCAGTGTGAGTAGCGGGTATCTCACAGTCGGGCCATTCAGCAACATCGTTCTCTTTTTCTTTTTGTTGTTGTCTAGGGCACCCAGCTCACAGTTGTTATGGAAAATAAATTGGTTGAGCTTATTTGGTGCACAGGTTGCTCTGATGGGAACGAAATATGACAAGGACACAACCACCAACCGGCTCTTTTAAAGGAAGGGGACAGAGGCAAGTATTGAAGGAATAAGAAACGAGATATGTAAGACCCTAGACTTTTGCTGGCAGAGTTTCAATAGTTAGAATAAATTTTGTTATTGTTGAAAAATGTCTCGTTAGCTAAAAAGAATATATAAAGATTATGATGAATTTGGTACCTCGACAGCCAAAGTTATCGCGAAATAACCGTAACGTAAAATAACAGTGTTTTTTTCCAAGAGAACTATGCTATTGTTATGCTAATAGATTTCGGTGGGCAGCTGCCAAATGAAACTTGATGTGAAAAATTCCAATTCAATCAACCACGGATTGTTTTCGAAATTATTTAACACAGTCAAGTGCAACTATATGGCTTTTAAATATTTAAGGTACACATATTATCTTTCCGCAATGCTGAATTAAAAAAAAGATTGTCAACTGTCAGGTCCCTGAGGTCTTACCCAAATAGACTTTATAATTGGCCGAGCGAGAATGTCAAAAAGCACACTATGAAAATCTTGGACAGTTGCCGTCGGCATTTAGTTACTTTCTGTTTATTTATTTTTTTGCTGCCTGCCCACTATTTTTTGAAGGTTTTGTGTGCTATTTATTTGCTTTTAATTCGGTAGCTTTTAGTCAAATTATTCATCATCGTTATTTCTCTTGAATAGCAACGCTATTTAAAATATTTTTCATGTTTGAATTTTGAAGGAATTTTCATCGAAACCAAAACTCTATCATCATGCTATTTGTTTTGCTTGGATTCGGATTTCCATACACATTTTGCATTCATCTGACATATCATTTTCGCAACTAAAAGAGTTTTGCAGAAAAATTTTCCTGCATGTATATGCCGCTTGCTTTTGGAATATTTTGGCACCCATCACACATTCTGAGGCCTTCATTTAAACAAGAGCTTTTTAAATCGATATTTGTATGCCGAGGAGAGTGTGAGGCAGAAAATCGAAATGATAAGCCCGTTGAGGCCGGATGAACCCGCACGTACACTCACAGGGACATAAACATTCACCCACTAGCCTCTGTGAAATATTTAAAATCTGATATTGCCAAGATTAAATGTTGACCAGTTTACCGATTTAAAACAAAACATAGTTATTGCATTTTTATTTGAGGCATTTCCATTTCCATTTACTTTATTTATTTATTACTTAAGTAGAGCAACATAAATTGAGATTCTTTATCAAATTCATTTAAAAACATTCGTTGTCATAGATGTTTGACTCCCAGCGGGTTTATACAAAGAAAAATCATTTCATAAATATTGTACTAAATTTCATGAATCCTTAAACCAACAAGGTAAACTCAATTTTGTGGATTCGTCTGGGACCAGTATCAATATGGGTTTTTACAAACTCTGAACATACGTCTAAACGCTGTCTGCGTATTTTTGTAGGCATTTATGTTTTAACAAGCCCTAGCATTTGCCAGAAAAGGACGCCAGTTACGATGATTAAGTACTTGAGTGCGCAGTACACGGCATGCAATAAAATGTAATTAAATGTGGCTCAATACAAATCGTATAACATTTATTTTCCTTTGGCACTAATTGGAATTTATACTTGTTTTAAGGGCCGTTTAGCTAACGAAATGATGCAAAAATGTCATTGACATTTGTGCGACATCTTATTTTCTGGGATTTCATGTTTTAATAAATTTTCCTTTTTCTATCGCTGGAAAAGTTGTTCTTTCACAACCAAACTTCTGTGCTTGTTTTCAATGCTCCTTTTGTAGATGCTGTTTATTTCTTTTTGTTTTTGTTTTCGTTTTTTTTTTTTTGTTTAATTGACTTGAAAACCAGTTTTATTTGTTTGCAGGCAGCAAAAAAAGGCAGCGCAACAGCAACAAGCATTAAAAGCAAATATAAATTGTGTGCTGCCCAACTTGGCTCTTGGTTTTGGTTTTGGCTTTCGGCTCTCTTGTCCATTCTTATACCCTTGCAAAAAGTTATTGCGATTTCTATGCGAAAAGTTTAATTTGTTCTTCGAGACGAAAGTTCATACCTTTTCACAACCCTAACTATCCAATTGCGTTCGTGTTTGTTCTATCACAATCGATCAACACATTTGCCCCTCAGTGCGTAAACAATATCTGATTTCAAGGGTACGAAAGCTTCGATAAAGTTTACATTTCGTTCTTTCAGTTACCTCTTTTTT